AAAAAAAAAAAAAAAAAAAAGAGAGAGAGGAAAATAAGGAAATGAAAAGTAAATGTGAAGAAATGCGAAAGAAATGCAATGCAAGCGCAAAGGGAATGCAAAGGAAATGCAAAAGAAATGGAAAGGAAGTGCAAAAGAAATACAAAGGAAATGCAAAGGAAGTGTAAAGGAAATGCAAAGCAAATGCATAGGAAAAGCTAAACATATGGAAAGCAAATGCAAGGGAATAGCAAAAGAAATGCAAAGGAAATGCAAAGGAAAAGCAAAGGAAATGCATAGGAAAAGTAAAACATACGGAAAGCAAATGCAAGGGAATGCAAAGGAAATACAAAGGAAGTGCAAAGGAAGTGCAAAGGAAAAGCAAAAAAAAAAAAAAAGAAAGAAAGGAAAAAAGAAAAGGGAAAAAAGGAAGAAGCAAGCGAAGGAGGAGCAGAGGGAAAGGGCAGGGCAGGCAGCCCGCGCGCTCCGGCGCGGGAACGCGGCGCGCGGAAGCAGCCGGCGCCCCGGGACGCGCCGGGCCCGGCCGGCAGCGCCCGCTCCCTGAACGACGGGGGCAGAACGGAGGGCAGAAACCCGGAAGGACGAAACCCAAACCCACCTACGTATAAATGTGTATATCTATACTGCCCCAGCACCGCCCCGGGGGCACCATCCCCCCCAAAGGATCCCTGAGGGCAGAGCGGGGGGCCCTCCCCGCTGCCCCGCGGGCGACGCCGCGCTCCCTTTCTGGGCTGGATTTGCTGATTTCTTTAACGTGATTTTGAGGTATTTGCCTTTTTTTGCCGGCGCCCCGGTAGCCTCTGAGCACGAGGGCCCCAGGGAGAGTGAGTAGCACCCATAAAACCGTGGGAGAATAATTAAAGGGGGGATGATGATGACGTTGGGGTGCGAGAGTGAAGTTTGCAGTGTGCAATGTGCAACACGCTGCACGCCACCCGTGCACGAGGTGCATGCACCGTGCAAGCACCTTGCACGAGCATTTGGTGCACACACCTTGCACAAGCACGCGGTGGATGCACCGAACAAGCACCTTTGCATGAGCATTTGGTGCATGCACCGAACGAGTACTCGGTGCACGCACCTTGCACGAGCACACAATGCAAGCACCGTACAAGCACCTTGCATGAGCATGCAGTGCACGCATCATGCATGCACCTTGCACAAGCATTTAGTGCATGCACTCCCTGCATGCACACTTCCTGTGCACCGTGCCTGCACCCCATGCTTGTGCACGGTGCCTCTGCACCCTGTGCATGCACTCCGCCGCCCGCCCGCTGTGCATGCACAAAGTACTGCAACCCCGTGCACTGTACAGGTACACTGTGCCTGCACACTGTGCACATACACCTTTCCTGTGCATGGTGTTCCTGCACCATTCTGCACACTGTGCCCATACACCTTGTGTTCTCAGGGTGTGCATGCGCCCCGCTGCACACTGTACACACGCACCGTGCCCGTGTACGCATGTGTGCACGCACAATGCAACTGACCCTGCACACACCGTGCATGCACACCCTCCCTGGGCACCACACACACACCGTGCACACACACCGTGCACACACACTCTTCCTCTGCACCAGGCACACACACCATGCAAGCATACTGTGCATGTGCACCATGCATGCACACCACATGCGCACACGCTGCACGCCCACCCTTCCTGCGCACCATGCACGCACACCATGCATGCATACTGTGCATGCACACCACATACACACACCCTGCACACACAGCCCTCCCGCGCACCATGCATGCACACCATGAGCACACACTGTGCATGCACACTACATCTGCACAGCATGCATGCACAGCATGCACGTACACCCTTCCTGTGCACCATGTCCGTGCAGCCTGAATGCACTCTGTGCACACACATGCCTCCTCCACACCATGCACGCACACCACGCATGTATAACAAGCATGCACATTGTGCACACACACCCTTCCTGTGCTCCATATACACCACACATGCATGCATTCCGTGCATGCACACCATGTATGCACGCCTGGGATGCACAGCGTGCACAAAAACCTTTCCTGGGCACCATGCACACACACCATGCACCCCATAGCACGCACACATCATACCCTTCCCATACACCATGCATCCACAGCATGCATGCACACCTTTCATGCACAGCCTGCACACACACCCTGCATGCACACCATGCATACACAACCCCCTCACACATTGTGCATGAACACCATGCACGCACACCTTGCACGTACAACCTTCCTGCACACCATGCACACACGCTGTGCACTCATATTCTTCCTATCCACCATGCATGCACACAATGCACACACACCCTTCCCACACACCATGCACACACACCGTGCACACACACCATGCATGCACACCCTTCCTATGCACCATGCACGTACACCATGCATGAACACACACCGTGCACACACACCATGCACGCACACCATGCATGCACGCACACCATGCATGCACACGATGCATGCACACGATGCACGCACACGATGCACGCACACCATGCATGCACACCCTTCCTGCACACCATGCATGCACACGATGCACGCACACGATCCACGCACACCATGCATGCACACGATGCACGCACACGATGCACGCACACCATGCATGCACACGATGCACGCACACGATGCACGCACACCATGCACGCACACCCTTCCTGCACACCATGCATGCACGCACACGATGCATGCACACGATGCACGCACACAATGCACGCACACCATGCACACACACCATGCACGCACACCATGCATGCACGCACACGATGCATGCACACGATGCATGCACACGATGCACGCACACCATGCACGCACACCATGCATGCACACCCTTCCTGCACACCATGCA